GACGTGACATGTTCGTACGAACCCTTTGTACGAACAAAAGTAAGAGAAATTTAGGATAAGAATACAAACATGTTCTTGCATGAGGCCCAATGTCTCTGAGTGAAAGCAAACAGAGAATATGGTACCTCAACTTGCCACGTTCTTCCTTTCCTTTAAGAAGCGCCTGATGTTTCTTCTTGATTTCTTCATTCAGCTGTGAGCATTTAGTTTGAAGCTCTGCAAGCTGCTCTCTTAAATCACATAATCTCAGTTGATGTTTTGTGCGCTTGTTGTCTCCGCTCTTCGAAATCTCACTGATGAATAAAAGGACAAAGCAATTCAAAATTAATGTGTGAACTTCTGTAAAGCAGAGCCCACCAAGCACTTTTTAATATCCTCACCTTGTTTTGGCCTTGTTTATTTTCTCCTGAAGAAAGGTTTGCTCTCGTTTGGTCTGTTTCAGTTTGTTCAGAGCCCGAACATAAACAAGCTACAGGAAGAGATGATGTCACTTAAACAAATAAAGATCCCATCTGTTACATATACGGTAGTAAGCAGTGCAGCTGTGCACTGAAACTGTTTTCTGGGGCCTCATGTTCAAAAAGGGTGTGTAAAGATATTACTGTTGGTGACTTTCTGTTGGGACACTACTGATGATGTGAAAACATACTATACAGGCAAGAAACATGATGAACAAATAATACCTCAAGTTGTTTAGCCACCTCTCCTGCACTTTGCAAGTACAAAGTGGTGCAAAAAGTACCTTCAACAAAGATGAGTCTTATTAGAAGATTCATTCTTCTTCTTCATATTATTTCTATAAACCAGGCGTGGTCAGTCCTGGTCCTGGAGGGCTGCAGCCCTGCATGTTTTACTTGTTTCTCTGCTCCAACACACCTGATATGAAGGAATAGATGATTATCAGGCTTCTGCAGTATGGAGGACCAAAACTGACATAATTAGAAATAAAAGCAGAATTATATGAACCAATAAATAAATAAACCTAAATGCACCAATTAAATTAAAAAAGGAGAACTTTATCTCCTGTTTTATATTTTATTGACTTTCATATTTATTTTTCCAGGTTAGTTCCAATAAATTAGTCTATATATTTGAACACATAATTAAAATTTTACTGTTTTTTTTACATATATTAATTGTTTTTCCTTTAGGTGTACATGCATTTGTGTGTCTTAAATGGTTATACTTAATTATTTCTATATTTTTTCCAACAAGTCTTTGTATCTCTATGTGTTGCATGCTTGTGCCTCAGTTTAGCTAAAAGTTTAAAGCTTAGTTTAAAACAAAGGCAAGGATGAAAACATTACCTGTGCATTTATTTCTAACTAAACTTTAAGCTAAACTGCAGCAGTACAAGCATGCAACACAGAGAAATAAAAAGACTTGTTGGACAAAATTATAAAAAATAATTAAATTTAAGCATTCAAGAGACACAGATGAATGTACAAGTAAAAGGAAAAACTATGTAAAAATCATTACAATTTAAATTATGTGCTAAAATATATAATTTATTGGAACTAAGCTGGAAAAATAAATATGAAAGTCAATTAAATTATTAAACATGAGGTAAAGTTCTCCTTTTTAATTTATTTGGTGCATTTTAAATGTATTTATTTATTTAAAGGTTCATTTATCTATTTCTGCTTTTATTTCAAATTATGTCAGTGTCGGTCCTCCATACTGCAGAACTTGAAGAGGTAGTTCAGTGACTAAATCAGGTGTGTTGGAGCTAGGAAAAATGTAAAACATGTAGGGCTGCGGCCCTCGAGGATCATGATTGCCCACCCTGCTATAAATGATGCAGTGCAAAGAGACCAAGAGGATTTTCTGACTCAAATAGACAACTATATCAGCTGTTTTGGTTTCTAAGGGCAATCCAGTTGGAGCTGTGCAGAGCTACTGCCAATACCCAGCAGGACTCATCCAGCTGTTGCAACAGTATGGTTGGGAACAGACAACAAGCTGGGATACTGCGGGATGAGTGTTGTCTTGGGGAGGATGTATAAAAAAATTGCATCTTTACCTACTTTAGGAGTGTCTCCAGCTCACATTCCCTTACACTCCTCTTTTTTCACATGCTGACGTTTTTTTTCCAATCAGAGGACAATTACACATGCATGGCATATTAAGTGTATTGTTAGCACTCAATTCAACTTTGATAGGGACGTATGAAGAAAATGTGTTCGATTTTATGCGTACGCATGGTTTCATGCATATGTATTTCTTTGTGAGTACACAGTTTTCTTGCAATATTTCAGTAAATAAAACAGTCCACACAGGTAATTGTACACAAGGCCCCTAAGTAAAACAAATACCTCCTGTTCCTTGTGAGCTTTGCTAATGCTTTTCACTTGTTGTTTCAACTTCAGATTGTCTTCTGTAAGAGTCTTTTGCTGTTCTTTTAGCGTGTCGCTTTTCTTTTTGATAAGCTGCAGCTTCTTCTCTACTTGTACAACCTTGGTCTGCATGGAAAAAGAAGCAAAAGTGTGTTTAAAAACAATATGTCAATCAATCAATCAAAGTCAAATGCAGTTTGAAGGGCTTTACAATGGAAAAGTTCAACAACAAAAAAGATCCAATGTAAAAGCTGGAACAAACAAATGGTTTTTAGTCTAATTTAAAAGTATCTAGATCCTGGACTCCTCTCAGATCATCCAGCATGTCACTTCACTGTCTTGGTGTAGAGTTACTAAAATATATCTTCAAAAGTTCTTGTTTTCCATTTATGAAGAAACAGAATATTTTAACCAGTAGTAGTCAATATGGATTTAAAGTATATAACTCCACATCAGTCATGGAATTAATAGAAGAGATAGCAACTGCTATCTATCAACAGTATTGTGTTAGTATTGTTGTTGATTTTTTTTCCAACACTATTGATTATAACATTCTTATTGAAAAGTTGAATCCACATGGGATTAGAGGATTAGCACTACAGTGGGTATCTAGTTATCTGAAAGATAGAACAGTTAGTACAGGTAAATAATGTAGGATCTGAACTATGTAATATTAGTTGCGGAGGACGCAGAGTCTGAAGACTTGGGGAAGACAAGTCCATTACCATGGCAGAGGTCACCAAGGTAGTCAAAAAGCTCCTTGGTGGCAGGGTGCCACGGATGGATGAGATTCACCCCGAGATGCTGAAGGCTCTGGGTGTTGTGGGGCTGTCACGGTTGACACATCTCTTCAACAATGCATGGAGGACTGGGACAACTCCTGTGGAGTGGCAGACCAGGGTGGTGGTTCCCAATTTTAAAAAAGGGGATTGGAGAGTGTGTTCTAACTATCGTGGGATAACACTTCTCGCCCTCCCCAGGAAAGTTTACTCCAGGGTGTTGGAAGGGATGTTCCGAATGATTGTCAAACCTTGGATTCAGGAGAAGCAGTGTGGCTTTCATCCTGGAACAGTGGACCAGATCTTTACCCTTGAAGAGTTGCTAAGGGGGTCGTGGGAGTTTGCCTCTCCGGTCTACTAGGGTTGGACAATATTGGCAAAAAAGGTAATGCGATTAATTGCGGTATTTAGCAGTTAGCGATTAATTTGACGATTAATCCCCTGAAGTCCCTGGACACCCTTATGTACACGACCAATTTAGTGGGAAAGACTTGCTCTTCGTAAAAATCTGTTCCAAATTGTGTCAAAATTTCAGACATCAGGCTATGAATCAAATTGTGTTGGTAGATAAATAAAAAACAAACCTTTTTTTAATGTCTGTCATATTTGAAGCGAAGAGGAGCACCGAGCGGAGTGACTTGAGAAATATCCAGTCAATCTGCCTAGTGGCATTAATCGTATTAATCGTCAAGTGCCAAAAAATAATCGATTAATGTTTTTCTGATGATTAATTGCACATGATACGATTATGCCCAACCCTACGGTCTACATGTCTTTTATAGACTTGGAGAAGACTTATGACCATGTTCCTTGGGGAATTCTGTGGTGGGTGTTGAGGGACTACGGAGTGTCTGGGTTGCTACTAAGAGTGATCCAGTCCCTATACAACCAAAGCAGGAGCTGTGTTGGCATTCTTGGCACAAAATAGAGCTTGTTCTCAGTGCGTGTTGGACTCCACCAGGGCTGTCTCTTGTCTCCGATCCTGTTTGTAGTGTTTATAGACAGGATCTCAAGGTGCAGCCGTGGAGAGGAGGGTGTCTGGTTTGGGGACCACAGGGTCTCGTCTCTGCTGTATGTGGATGATGTGGTTCTATTGGTGTCTTCAGTCCATGACCTTCAGCGTACACTGGGGCAGTTCACAGCCGAGTGTGTAGCAGCTGGGACGAAAGTCAGCTCCTCTAAGTCTGAGGTCATGTTTCTCGACTGGAAAAGGGTGGAATGCCCCGTCCGGGTCGGGGGAGAGTCTCTGCCTCAAGTGGAGGAGTTTAAGTATCTGGCTGTCTTGTTCATGAGTGATGGTAGGATGGAGCGGGATATGGATCGACAGATTGGGGCCTCGTCCTCAGTAATGAGGGTGTTGCTTCAGTCAGTCGTGGTGAAGAAAGAGCTCAGTCGAAAGGCAAAGCTTTCGATTTACTGGTCTGTCTTCGTTCCGACCCTCACCTATGGTCATGAGGCATGGATCATGATCAAAAGAACGAGATCCCGGATACTGGCGGCCGAAATGAGCTTCCTTCATAGGGTGGGCCGAGCTCAGCCTTAGAGAAAGGGTGAGAAGCTCTGTCATCCAGGGAGCACTTGGAGTAGAGCCGCTGCTCCTCCACATCGAAAGGAGTCCGTTGAGGTGGTTTAGGCATCTGATTAGGATGCCTCCTGGACACCTCTCTTTAGAGGTGTTCCAGGCATGTCCCACCGGGAGGAGGCCCGGGGAAGACCAGGACTTGCTGGAGGGATTATGTATCCTCTCTTGCCTGGGAATACCTCGGGGTCCTCCAGGACAAGCTGGAAAGTGTTGCTGGAGAGAGAGATGTCTGGGTTTCTCTCCTGGACCTGTTGCCTCCACGACCCGAAGATGAAGATGGAGATAGATATGGAGTTCCTCTGGGTTTTGTGCTCGGACCAAACAGTTTATTTTGTATGTGAATTATTTGGTCAGTGTGTCAAAGCTTTTAAAACACTTTTTTGTTTGCTGATGACACAACACGATTTTTTTATTTTATTTTGGTGAATAAATTGAACAGGGCTGATACAAATATAATTTATGAAAGTAAAAACTTGGTTACAACTGAATTTATCATTGAATTTGCATAAAACAAACTACACGATATTTGGTAACAGAAAGAAAACCATCTAGGTCACATTTAGAGTTGACGGTGTTGAGATTTTTAGAGTCAGTGAGGTGAAGTTTTTAGGTGCCGTTATTGATGAAAAACTGACATGGACATCCCATATAATATAATTAACAATAAATATTGCAAAATCGATTGCAATAATGCATAAAGTTTTGTGTATGGATCAATGTCAGCTGTTCTGCAGGCTGATATCACCACAAGAAGAATTGAGAACAGCGTGTTTTTTTTTGTTAGTTTTTTGTATCACACTGAACAAATTACAATCAGGTATTTGACTGTAGTTCTGAGTCAAACCATGCAGCTGAATGAGAGACTTCATGATTCTAAAATATAAATCACACCGCGGCAGAAACACTGTGACTCATTTCTTCACTTCAACTATTTAATAAATATTTTTCTAAGTTCTACCAAACTCATCAGTTCCTCTGTGTTTAGTCATTTATTAAAGACGTGTAAAGGTGGAAATGTCTGTCAGCCTCATGCGCCGCTGCAGCACACGTGCACACACACCAACACCCACACACCTTTGCAAGTGGCAAACTCATTTTTACACCCCACTACTTATTTAGACAGTTTTCTCACTCATTCTCCATTTAATGTATAATTTTCCTGCATCTAAAAATCATTTCTGATACCACAGAGAGGAGTCGGAGGAGAATCTCACACGCTGGACACATTTACATCTATTTTACAGATTTAAATGGAGGCGTGTCAGGGGAGGAGTCTCAGGTGCGCTCAGTTCCACGTTCGTTGGGATGTATAAACGAAAGCTGTGCAGGAACTTGCGTGCTCACAGTTTTACACATCTGAATTTTTTTGCGGTGCACTTTTCTAAATTTGTCCATATGTCAACTTTTAGCATGAAAGCTGTGCAATCCTTTATGCCCAAGACATTTTCCAGAAGCAGGATTAAAAAACATGTTTTTCTTGCGCTGCCAGCTGATATTCATCAGTACCCCATAAGTTTGGACAAAATAAATAAATAAATAAACAAATAAACAAACAAACAAATAATAATAATAATAATATTAAGAATGTTTCAGTAAGTTTGCTTCAATCAGTGCAAATGATCCAGTTATCAAATGAAAATATTTAACAAATATTTGAATGGTTTTTGACTAACTTTGATGTTTTTGGCATTTTGATTGATAGAAAAGTTTTGGTGCAGTGATAGTTAGAAGTTGGGGTGTTTTGATTATCACTGTGCTGAGTTCTGCTTTCTGGGTGTTTGCCAGAACCTAACTAGACACCACATTGCGGTAACATAATGACCCCCGCACGCAGAAATGCACCAGAACTCAGAAGTCTTTATTCKTAATAAATGTCATGCTACTAGGTGCATCCCAAAATTGTAGTGGCTTGGGAGGGGGGTCTCTCTCTCTTTTTTTTCTTTTGTTTTTGGGGGGGGGGGGGGGGCATTGGTTGACATGATGGATAGCCCCTCATCAGAGCTAAACAACCAAAGAGAATTTGAAGCTCTTAAGCTTAACAGTTTTTGAGCAATAACCATTTTTGTATGTCCAGATACCCCTTTTTCAGGTAAATTGGGGGTCCGGAGAGGTGGGGGCACTGATTGGTGGACCTGATGGATAGAGCTTCATCAAAGCTAAACAACAAAAGAAATGTGAAGCTTCTATGTTGAGCAGTTTCTGAGTTATAAGCCTTTTTGCATGTCCTGACACCCCCTCTTTGTGCGGAGCCCCCTCCTCAAATATGGGGTGTATCGTAAAACCGTTGGCTGGCGCAGTGTAGGTCAGACTCATCTAGAGTCCTCCCAAATTTCATGTTGATCGGTGCAACCGTTTTTGTGGTACGGTTGAAAAATCACCGGAGAAAAAAAAAACAGTACGAAAACAATATGACTCCCTCTTACGCTTCAAGTGCGGGGGTCATAATTAAGCCTACATTAATAAAGTAACACTTGTTTATTACAACAGACCATACAAACACTATGTAGCATAGTGACATGCCATGGCTTTGCCTGTCTCATCTTCCACTCTGCAGTGAACCGGCCTAGTGTACGCTGAAGGTCTTGGCCAGAAAACCGCAACAGAACCACATCATCTGCATACAGCAGAGATGAGTCCCTGTGGTTCCAAACCAGACACCCTCCTCTCCACAACTGTCTTGAGATCCTGTCCATAAACACTACAAACAGGATTGTCTCTGATCCTGTTGTTTCTCAACATCAGATAATCTGAGTCGAAAACTCTTGTCATGAAAGGTGACATATTATCTTATTTATTTATGTGATGTTGAAAGTTTGAAGAGCAGATACATTTGAAAACCCAGTTAAACCAATAGAAGAGGACAGGACGAGTTATCACCTGACAGAGACGAAGGTTGTCCTGATGTTTGTTATTAGCTTCTTCTCTCTCTGTGTCCTCCTTCAGCTGCTGTATGGACTGCTCCTTCTCTGTAACCTGACGGTAGAAAACAATCACTTTTCATCTTGTTCTGATCATCTACAGTAAAAGAACAGTCTTTGATGAATATATCATCGTAAAATGATCTCCTACCAAAGCCCATGCCATTTTTGTTTTCATGTTTTCTAAAGCCTCCTTCAGCTCACTGTAAGAGGACAGATTTTCATATCGCTCCTTCTTCTGTAGAAACTCCTGCTTCAAGTCCTTCAGACACTGAACACAGAACAAAAGAAATATAAATGTGTACAATATATCTCAAGTGAAATATTCTCAGGAACATCTCTAATGTGCAATATTACAAGCAATGTTGAAGTATATACTGTAAAAATGTTCCTATTCTTCATTTCTACATACAGAAACTATGATTTCTCTTTTTTAGATCGTGCACATTTTTGTCTTTATTTGATTTTAAAGAGGCAATATCATGTAAAATCAACTTTTTTGAGTTTTATATCATGTTATAATGTTATACTCTCATAAAAAAACATGTCCAAAGCCTTGCTCTGACTCATTCATGTATGTTTGAGAAATCCTGCAGTGTTTTTATGAAGCCATGC